GTCAGTTCTGTGTAAATCTTAATCTTGGAAACGATGGATGGTCTAGAAATTCCTCAGGTAGGTAGGTTGTATAATTTTGTAACTAGGCCAAATAGGCAGTGGCGCATTAGCCACTGGGCCAATGGGGCCCGGGCTCAGGGGCCCCAGCCAACTGTGGGGCCCTGGAAAAAATCTGCTGCCAGGCACTGTAAACCCAGAGCCCTGGCCCCCAGGTGGGCAGGGCGAGGGAAGCCCCCATGTCCTGACCCTGCCCCGCAGCAGCAGCGCTGGGTGGGGGAAGCCCTCATGCCCCAACCCCCTTCCCCAGCAGCAGCACCGCCGGGCAGATGGGGCAGGGGAAGACACCCCCCCCCCAGCGGCCCCCAATCCCAGCAGAAGCCACGGGACGGGGAAGCCCCAGTGCCTCCCATCCATCCCTGGCAGAAGCCACGGGGCGGCATGGGAAGTCCCGGTGCCCAACCCTGCTCTCCGGCAGAAGCGGGCAAGGCGGGAGAAGCCTCAGTGCCCAGAAATGTGGGCAGTGGTGGGGGAAGCCCCAGCACCCGGACCCCTGTGGTGGACCCCCTGGTGCAGGGACAGAGCTTCTCTGGTCTTGGGACTGCAATGGGGGTAGGGCAGAACGGAGTAAAAGGGGTTGGGGGGGTGGAATGGGGAGGACCCTGGGTGGAACAAGGATGGGCCCTGCCCCCAGGGAAGGGGCAGAAAGGGGTGGGGCTGCAGGCAGAAGGAGCGGAAAGGGGCAGGGTCACAGGCAGAAGCGGTGGGGAGGGGCTCCCCACTTGCTCTGGTCCAGGGCTCCAGGAAACCTTAATCTGCCTCAGCAAATAGGTAACTTTAGTCCCAGACTGGCTGTTAGGACCAAACCTTGCTCATAGTCGCTGCAGAAACCTAAATGTTCGTCCTCCATTAGATATCTCTGACAATGTGATCCAAAGCTTCACATCTCAAACCCGGCAAACCCCCCATAAACTGCAATGCTGTACCCTTTGTTCAGTTATGTCTATTGTTACCAAGAGGTTAGATTCTAAACGAAATAAAATGGGGTGCAAAAATTCGAAACATTTCAGAATATATTAGCAGTTAAAACAGAGGGTTAAGACAAGCAAGGACTCCTGGGTACAATCGCTGCCAGAGTTTTGGGGTGTGACCTTGTGCAGGTCACTCAAATCTGTGCCTTTAGTTCTCCACCAGTGCATAATTCATTAATACTACTCTCTGAATAAAGCGGAGGTGTATTATATTTCTGTGTCCTGAGTACTTCATCTCTTGATACTAGAAGACATGTCGGTGCCCTTCTCCTGCTGTTTGCAGAAAGACTCATTTAATTCACAGATGCTTGGAGAGGGTCCCATCTTTGTATTCAGAACTGTTGAAAGACCTTTGCACATGCCTTGATGGTATTTTTAGAATTTGTGTCAAGAAAAAAAATATATGGGACAGGTTAGCTGATGATTGGCGTTGTCTCCAGCACTGACTAGGGGTAGCTAACCCTGCTTTATTTGTAGAAACTCTGGTGTCTAGCAAAAAAACTGTTTAGGGTTTTGTTCTGGCAAAATTGCAGAAGTAATGTAAAAATTGTCAAACGCAGCTTTGATGGAGAAAATAACTCTATCAGCAATCAAATGGGGGAAAAAGACAGGTTGGTGTTATACACATGCATTAATGTGGTTATGATATAAGAAGACTCAGACAGGATGTCATTGCTAAATCAGCATTTTTTAGATTGCATTGGTATATCTATAGGCTCTTTCCTTTGTCAGAGTTGTAAAGAGAAGACGCTAAATACACAAAGCAAGAGACTTGTATATTTGTTTGTCTTTGGCCTGAAGCTTGTTACAATGATCATTGTACTAAATTTAGCCTCTTGCTAAATGTTTAATTTTTTTGTTTTTAATGAAAAATCAATAAAGCAAAAACAAAACAATAACCCAAAGTCAATGCTGCTTTCCTATCTCCCGTGGGTTTGGTCAGGCTTTGTTAATTAGTGCTTTCTGAGCACTATGCGATCTTCGGATGTAAGATGCTGTAAAAGTCCAAAAATTTAATATCAGGCATGCCATATGTCTGCTCTTGGCTGTGACATGCCTCTTATGCTGTGTACATTGTGTTCTGAAACAGTTACATAACAGGAATATAGGATCAAGATTATCTCTGTCACAAATGATAAGACTACATATCTATGTAATCTGTTTATTGGTTTATGAATCTCAGGTCCTCCAGGGAGTGTCACAAATCCACATGATATCCCTGAATGATTTTATATTTGGATATCTGATTCTGCTGAAAGATGGATACAATAGAAATGTCAGCCAGTCAGTTCGCTTCTGGTGAATGGAGGACACTCCTGTTTTCATATAAGGTGTTTCTTACTTCTAAGTGTCTAGAACATCTTAGGGAAGATAGTTATAGAAAATGAGTATTTTTTGTGTGTGCGCAAAATCAATCCTGTTTTTGATTCAACACTCATGTAATACTTGTAGATTCACACAGTCTCTCCCAAGTAGGATTTTCCTCACATGGGAACGTTTAAGTCCTGCACCAATTCTGAACTGTGCTCACTTGAGAGGAGTTAATTGGGGTGAATGTTGTGAAGACCATTCATCAGTTCTAATGGGGGAGAGGGGTTTGGCTGATATGCAGATACATTGGATAAAATTAAAAACTGTCCCAGGGGAACAGTCATATTCAGAATTGGAAACGGCGGGGGGTGTTACGGATAAGGTTCTGTTAGTACTGCAGTAGGGCTGCCAAAATAAAACAGTGGTGCAGAAAAGAACTCTGGTTACGTCTCCAAAGCGTGACCATCTCTTTTACACTCGCTCGTCACAGTCCTGGGATTGTTTTTTTTTTTTTTGTCCTCACCATGCAGTTCTTTAATCCCTTTTTACAGCCCCAGCAATTAGTGATGCACACACTTGTTACACCCATCTAAATGTCCTGGGTTTAAAAGTTGAATTCACACCCAAACATTACTGGACTAATGTTCTGCTTAGTCAGGGTGTGTGTGTGTGTGAGAGAGAAAGAATAGAAAGTCCAATTAGATAATAATAGGGAAATGGTGCAGAGAGGGTAACAAACAGGGATACGCTGTGTAGAAAGTAGAGGGAAGAGGAAAAAATACCTGGAGTATCAGTACAGTGGGTGAAATCTTAGCTCTATTGAAGTCAATAGCAAAGCTTCCATTGTCATCCAATATTATGTATTTATTTATTTGTTTTGTGGTATGCATAGTTGCTCCAGTCATGGACCTGGCCACTTGCTTCCCTTTAGGTAGAAAAACAAGTTTAAAAAATATTGACTCCCTCTTGGGATAAAAAAGATTTTTGGGTGAACTCAGACTAATTATACGAATCTAAAAAGGTTGAAGTTCACGAAACCCAAAGCTCTATCCTTACATCATTCTGTCTTTATTAGATTTTCACAAGGAAAAATATGTATCTTCAGATTTTTTTTCTAAATTCAAGTTTGTAAAATATTTGAGAGAGATGTATATAAAAACTCAAAAATTTTCCAATATACTTACCATGTTGGATAGAATACTATTTGGATTATATACTCTACATTCAAGCCTCTAAGCCATACGAAAGAGTGCAGTGTAGAACTTATTAAAAACACAAATTATCACTCTTTGATATGAAAGTAAGGTAAATATATCAATAAACAAAAGCAGTAGGCATAATTATCCTTTCACTATTATAATGACAGCTGCTAAAAAATCCCCTTTGGACCTTTTTTGGACAATACCTGTGCTGATAAGAAGATACCTGTATCATCACTGAGTTTGTACATTAGAGACTTTTAATGGCTACATTTCATTAGCTTTTTTGCACCACTCCAGTGGTGAAAGTTACTGAATAGCTCCGAGGCCGCAGTAAAAACACATTTACACAATGCTCAAAGATGACCCTGGGTCATAAACCGAGAACCTCTGTTTTAGACTATAGGGAGAACATGGTTACAGGAACAATATTAGAAATGTTTGCATTGCTGATGAGCATATAACACTGTGGCAGTGCAGCTGAAGAAAATGTATATTTCCTGCTTCAGAAACACCTTGCTAAAAGGAGCTTTGGAGGAACGTCGTTCCAAACTGGTGAATCAGACTGTTTTAGGACTAGCTCCTAATATGTTTGTGCCAATTCATGTATATGAGCTGTAGGCACTGACTAAAAGAACAGATGATTGAAGCAATATTTAAACATGGGGTCAGCCTCCTGAAAATACTCACTGCAAATATTAGCATATTTACAGGAACTGATATAGGCTGATAGAATTAACCAGAGCCAACACCTCCTTTTATGTCATAAAATAGATGTTTCCAGTCTGTATCTACAATGTTGTTTTCTTTTCTAATCTCAGCCTTGAACTTTTTACTTTCCTTGCTTCCCATCACTATATTAGAGTTCCATTCAGCTTATCTATTATCTGCCGTTATAGGCGTGATATAGCACAGTGCATAGCTGTGCAAATTTCTTTCTGCGTGTTGGCTGCTGTCCTCCACCCCAGAGATGGCTGTCTCTGAATAATTGTGTGAAACACTTTGGGAACTGTGAAAAGCACAGTGTTTTATTTGTCTTATTATGCAACATGCCTGTCATCAATGCTAGGCACACTGACCATTTAACACATAAATAAACAATTTATAATGTAGTTCAAGGTTGATATCAAGGCACAATATCCTCATCAGATGTTGATAATAGGTGATTCTTAGAATTTACTGTATGAATTGTTTAAGAGCTGGGGCTTGTTTTAGTGCTTTTAGGTGAAAGAAGCTTCAAGCCATACTAGGAACAAATCCTGTCCAATCAAATGTAACTTTTCATTTTATAATGGCATATCCTTTTTTAGAGCCTTTAATTTGTTCAGTTATCTGTTAAACTCAGATCCGATTGATATTATCCATATGAATAACTGTCTGCAATTGGTTTATAACACAAGGATTATTTAACCTTACATGGTGGTTAACTACAAATCTTCCTCTCTCTTATTTTTCTTTTTAGAATCAAGTTTTTTACTGGGAAATGCCCAGATTGTGGACTGGCCTGTAGTTTATAGTAATGACGGTTTTTGTAAACTCTCTGGATATCATCGAGCTGACGTCATGCAGAAGAGTAGCACTTGCAGGTACGTAGCCTCTGTATATTTACAAACTAATTATTTATATTGAGTGAAAATTAGTACTCTGCTAAAATGTTTAAATGATCTTGAAAGCCTTAATTTAAAAACGATCTGTTAAAAGTTTGCAAAATTACCAATAAACTATTTAAGGTACCAATGCAATCAATAGAATTTATAACTATAAAGGTTGGATCCTGCACAGTGCTGAGTACTTTGTCTCTGATCCAGCAAAGCACTTAAACACGTGGCTGATTGTGTGCATGAGTAGTTCCATTGACCTCAATAGATCCACTGAAGTCAATGGAACTGATCGAGTGCTTAAAGTTTAGTACATGCTCATGTGCTTTTGCTGGATCAGGGCCAGACTGCTCAGCATGTTGTAGGGTTGAGCTATAAATGAAAAGAGAATATTTCTGATGATAATATAGATTTGTTTTTACTTTATAACATTTACCAATGAATATATTTTCTGCCATCCATGTTTTGAAAAAAAAAGCTAGTTCTTCCTTTAATTAGCTTCCAGGTCCTGAGTTCAGGAATTTGTGACTTGTCTTGTAACAGCTGTTGATGGTATAAACTTCTGAGCAAGGCAGGAATGAAGAAAAATCTTCAGTGGAAAAGGAAAATTTTAGAGACTCTGGGCTAGGTTCTCTTTTGCCTTGGAATTGCTCCTGATTTACACCAGCATCAGTGAGGTCACAATAGGGCCCTGTAATGAATTTGAAAGAGACGTGCAGACATGGTAGGATATTTAAAAATTGGGTTTTAGTACACACAAGTGGAAGATTTTTAATAGTTTTGCTTTAATTGACTCACAAGAGGCCTACCCCATGAGCACACTGAGGTGCAAACTGCACTCTCTGTCACCATCGGGACAGTTACCCCTAGGAGCAGGTGGACATACTGTCACCCCTTGTCTGGTGGTCTGCCAGGAGAGGCCAATTTTAATTTATGGCCGGACATCCATCCTAGCCTCCTCAACTGAGTGCCTGGGAGCAGGGCCGGCTCCAGCATTTCTGTTGCCCCAAGCAAAAAAAAAAAAAATAGCTGCGATCGGCGGCAGCAATTGGAAAAAAAAACCCCCGCGATCGGCGGCGGCAGTTCAGCGGAAGGTCCTTCGCTCCTAGAGGGAGAGAGGGACCTGCCACCCCGAATTGCCGCAGGTGCTGCCCCTCTCCCTTGTTAAGCTGGTGTCTGGAGCCAGCCCTGCCTGGGAGATGCTCTGGGAGAGCGCTGAATCCCTGGGAGATGCTTTCTGTGGACTGGGTTAGCCAACTCCAAGCCCCATAAAGCATGTGCACCAACAATCCTGTCCGAGCGGCTGCTGCCCGGGGCCTTCACCTGGTTATACTGCTGGTAACTGAAGCAACCCAGGGAGCAAATCTGACTCTATATGTGCGGTACGTTAACTACCATTCCATTTTCACCAAAAGACAATAAGCGCATTGCTAATGGGAAAACGTAGCCTGCTCTGCTTTTCTCTATTGAGGAGGAGGGGAAACCTGTGGAATCCAAGATTCCTGAAAGTATTCAGGCTTCCTATTGCAGGCAATGGTGTAGGAACAAGCTTGTGATGTTACCATACAATATTGAATACAGGCAATAGCAAGCAAGTTTACAAACTCATGGGGGCTGACGGAGACAACCTCATCACAGCCATCCCAGATGCACTGATAGAATTGCCCTGTTGCACTCCCATGATCACATCTACGTTTTCTTTGTACTGAAAGACATCTATATAAGCTACTTGCTGCCAGCTGAGCCTCTTTCCCGTGGCTCTGAATTAAAACCATTACAAGTACAGAACAGAAATATAAGAAAATTTTAGTTAAACACCTTTGAAACATGAGGACTTATGAATTCTCCTATTAAAATACTATTAAAAATACCCCCTCAATTATACTTCAGATAGTGAAGGTGCCAGAAGGTTTGTTGCCTAGCAGTGTTTTTGTGTATGTTTATGTGCTATGGGTATAACATGTGGAGCCGTCTCCCACCTTTTCTCTCTAAGGATGTAAAAGTTTATATGGGGTTAAATTCACCCCTATGGAGAGAGCCAGCATGAGGCCTGTGCACCATTTAAGTCCCTCGTAAACCCTGTTTCAATGATGAAAATGGTCCATGGATGTTTGGCACTGAAGCTGGAAGATATAACTCAAGTGGACATACCCGCACTAGCTCTGATGAAGCTAGCATGCTTTTTGAGCTGGAAATTACATCTTCCAGCTCCAGAATAGACACCTCCATTGTATTGGCCCTCTTCACCAGGTCACTCTTATGTTACTCCTGAGTAGGAGGTTAGTAGGGTAGACAGGGCTGCTTTCTAATATAGACTCCATTTTTTTTCTCTTCATAGAATCATAGAATATCAGGGTTGGAAGGGACCTCCAACCCCCTGCTCAAAGCAGGACCAATTCCCAACTAAATCATCCCAGCCAGGGCTTTGTCAAGCCTGACCTTAAAAACCTCTAAGGAAGGAGATTCCACCACCTCCCTAGGTAACCCATTCCAGTCACTTCCAACTACCCATCCACTTTAGAGTCTGTCTATTTAGCAACCACCTTTTCATTCAAAGACTGGGTCAGACTCTTTTCCATGCCTGATCCTTAGCCGGTTGAGTTACACTGAGCAGTGTGGTGATTTCCACATGCCCTAGGGTCTCGGAATGCTGCCTCAGCAGAAATTCCAGTCTTTGCTGGTCCATGGGGTATGAGACTGGGATCGAAAACTTATCCAACAGGTTTAACGTCCAATGCATGCCTTTTCAGACAGGAACAGTTTTGAAGCTACTCTCTAATAAAAAGTTGTGCTGCTGTATGAAACAGAGAACAGTTTTTGGGTGGACTGTGGCTTTTTGGGTTTACTCACTTGAGCGTGTGGTGTTGAGGTTGAGAAATACAGTAGATGACATCAAAGAGGGATTGTGAAGATGATAGCCAATAAATGTCTGTTTTTTTTGATAGATGGTGTAATTTTAATCAACAGGATACATAAGATTTTATTTTCTAAATTGGGTTCTCACTCTACATGTGATAAGACTGATTGCTACATCATGTGTCCCCAAAATAGAATTATTTGATATATAGCATAGCATTAGCTGGATTAAAGCAAAGCAGATTTCTGATGCTATGGGATCAGAGTGCTATGGTGTTACATTTATATTGCTTTTCAGGACAAAAATGTATACACATACAGAGAGATACATAATGTAAAACTTTTCAGACTCTAGGCTCTGATTCTTGGGGTGCAGTTTAGCTGTGCTTGGTGCAGGTCCTGAGTGTGGTGGAGGACAAAGATAGTTTTATTCCACTATTGTGGCTGTCGGTTTGAAGGTGAGCCAGTTTGTCCCCCAGTGTAAGTTAGAGCAGACCTGAGGCTGCTCTAAAACTTATGTCTGGCTGCTGGCAGCCCCAAGTGGCTATTCCAGCAGTTGGAAATAGCTAGAGTATAGAGATGCACCCACAGTGATGGCCCTCACCCCAGGGGCCTCGACATTAGCTCTACACCACTTGGGGCTACCTCCTATGCAATAGCAGTTCCCGCCTGGCCAGATCGACTGGCTTTATGGCACATTGTAGCAACTGAGTGGTACAAAGTACCCAGAGTGGAGATGAGAATTGGGCAACCAGAGCTTTGAGCTATAGGGATATAAATATGTTTTTGATTGGCACATATCACACCAGAAATTGTGTGCTTAATTGTGCACACAATAGCATTGTCACACACACACATACACAATTTTTCAGCAGGTGGAAACTTGTGAGTTGATGAATATTGTGTCCCAATGAAATTACAACTGGGATGGCCTGAGGGGCAGTTTCAGTTTCGGCATATTTAGGCTGCAATTGCACATGCAAACATTCTTTACTTCCAGTTGCACTAGGAGCTTAAATTGCACTTAAATAAATATTTCTCTTGTATTTATATGTGCTCATGCAAATTTAGATCTTACCGAGTAAATTAAAAGAATTGGCTGTTATAAAACCTTTCTGAAAATGATATGGTATTGTTAGTAGTATTCTCAAAATATCATTTCAATGGTCATTGGTAGCCATTGATTCCTCTGTGCAAGAACTCATGAAAACACACACCCATTGAACACTTGGTTAGCAGAGGTGCCCCAAGCATTGTACATTTGGCATTGTCTGGAGGCTGCTCCATTCCTCTTTTTGGCTTGCCTGTCTCCACAGAGCTTGGCTCAGGCCTGGGTGTGGCCCACAGTTTTCAGAGGAAACCCGAGCTTTCCAGGGTTCCCTTAGCATTTTGAGTGAGTCTGTGTGCCCCGGCGGAACCGTACACAAAGGGACCACAGATCTTTATTGAACCGGTTGTTTACAGGCAGCATTATCAGGAAAACTGCTGCACTATTCTAATTCAGTGTCTCAGGGGAGTGAGGGAAACATTCACTCCTGGTTTGATCTATTGCTGTTTAAAGTTGGATGAAAAATCTGTGGGTAAAATCCTGGCTCTGTTGAAGTCAATGGCAAAACTCCCATTGACTTCAGTAGGGCCAGGATTTCACCCCTGTATGTCTAGTGAATGGACGTCAGTGTTCAAGAATAATTAAACTTGACATTGAGATGGTTTCTCATTTACACTAAAGCCCCCTTATACTGTCAGGGCTGCACAAAGAGGCCTTGTGAATGAGAATCAGGCCTGTGGCGTTTCCATTGAGGTTCTTTATAAAGGATGCTGTGCTTTAACTTGCAGACTTTTGAAGCTTCTAATTCACGAGTTGGTGGCCGTTGTTCATTTTGGGTGAATCCTTTTCAAGCTGGCATTGGCCAGCATAATGTTGTTGTGCCCCTTTTCATCTAATGCCCCTTGATAAACAGGGTTGTAATTTTGGTTTAGGATCCTGCCACGCTTTGCCATTCACCCAGCCTTCAGCAGGACCGGCTCCAGGGTTTTTGCCGCCCTAAGTGGCGGCAAAAAAAAAAAAAGTGGCAATCGCGATCGGGGCACTCCAGCGGCAGCTCCACCGCGCCGCTTTCTTCTTCGGCGGG